GCCTCCCTCCTCTTGCCCGCCTCCGCCCAACGCCGAGCTCGAGCCGCCAATGCGGTCGTACTCGGCGTCGTCTCGTCGCCTCGCTCCCTCCTTCCCACAGCACCGAGCGCGAGCCGCCAACGCGGTCGCGCTCGGTGTCGCCTCCCTTCTCGCCGCCCAGTCCCGAGTGCGAGCCGCCAATGCGGTTGCGCTCCGCGTCGCCTCCGCCCTCGCCCCCGCACTCCGCTCAGCCCCGAGCGTGAGCCGCCAACGCGGTCGCGCTCGGCGTCGCCTCTCACCCTCGCGGCCCCCCTTTGCCCGACGCCGAGCGCGAGCCGCCAACGCGGTCGCGTTCGGCGTCGCCTCCCAACCTCTGGCCCCCCCTTCGTCCAACGCCGAGCGAGAGCCGCCAAATGCGGCTCCTTGCTCGGTACGCATCGGGTTCGGGAAGGCCGACAGTGCGCCGCTTGCTCCGGCAAGGGCAACAACGTCAGTAGCCCGACCCCGACGACTCCGGGCGCGTTGACGAAGTCCCCCGGCACGCCGTCGGGCGTGAGCGGCATGGACGCTCAGCTGCAGTTGACCCCGACCCGGACTCTGTGGATTGGATCCATCCCGTCGACGACCACTCCGGCGGCGATCCTGAGTGTCTTCAGTCCTTATGGTCCTATCGAGTTCGCGCGTGTTCTCACTCACAAGAACTGCGGCTTCAGTACGTGTTGGCCTACTCCCAGTGTTTAGTGACTAATTCTCCGTTCATCACTAGTTAACTTCGAGCGTTTGGACGACGCTGTGCATGCCCGAAAAGCGCTCAACGGGCATGACATCCTTGGTAGCGATGTCGGCGCGATCCGCATTGGCTTTGCCAAGGTTCCGGTCAAGAATGTCGCCGAGGGCGCGTCGAACGAGGACGGCGCAGCACCGTCGCTCCCCGTCGGCGGAATCGGAGAGCTCAGCGTCGGAGCGTCCATCCACGCCCTGCGCAACGTCAAGGGTGCCTCGGCCATCCCGACCGACCAGTGGGCCTTGCGAATGTCTGTAGTGCTTACGTAATCGATACTTTCACTACTTGATATGCTTGTAACTTATATAAAATATCATGAGTAATAATAATTCTTTACTAGAATTTGAATGATTACCAGTGATATATAATAAATTAATAAAAGTAATTATACTCTGATGACTACAACATCTATTGAGCATATGATTGCTGTAGAGTTTACATAGGATATGTAGTTGCAGTAGCACTGATGTGTGAGCTAGATAGCACTGAGGTATGCCCTACATAGCTACTATAGCCATGACAGTACCCTCTATAGCACCTATAGCACTATGATAGCATTGGCTGGCGGATATTTAGCATGGGTAGCAAAGGACATCGCTATGGACCTATGGAGGCTATATGGGACTATGTAGTGCCATATAGTGATCTAGATTTTTTCAGATGGTGTATTCATCTCGTATCTCTGTATATATTCTCAGTTGCTTCCCTGCCTTGTGCAACAGCATCTCCACCACCGTCCCGGGGGATCCGTGCCGCTCCTAGGAGCTCCAGCGCATACTCTGACAGATCCCAATCCTTGTCGATCACTACTTTACCCAGGTCAATTTGTATTTCCCTATCCTCTATCGTCCTACTTTCGAAAAGGGGCTCATGGAAGGTCTACACCTCCGGGACAACGGTTTTGGAGTTGTGCTGCTGCTTGTTTGTGCACTGGGCTCCAGATTTTGCGACGACCCTCGCGTGTTTCTGCCCGGCTGTCCCGCTTCGTCCACCGGTTGGCGATGGTATAATCAGGTGCAAATGGTGAGAAAGTCTCCTTTGGCGCCTTGATGCTTGTACGACGCTCAGCAATACAACGTGAGTACCAATGATACCCTTTTGTTATCCGATATTGAGCATCGCTTAGCTGGCGGCATCATTCTTGTTCGGCAGTTCCTTGCCTGAAATGACTCGAAGTATGATCATACTTGGAGTCGACATAGTTCTGGACGTCAATGCGCACCGTGGAAAAGTATACAAAGGAACAGGGGAGGGTCAGCTCGTCGAGGAACAGTGGAAGCGCAGCTTCTGGTAAATAGTTGGCATATGTGATGTTGGTGTTGTTCTCACCGGCTCATAGGACGCTAGTGAACATGGATAGATCCGCGTCCTGCAGAATGGGAAGGACACTTGCGATCCTGGACGACAAGTATGTTTCAACCCTAATATCCTCGCCATTTTGGCTGACGGATCAATGAAGCATTGACACGCCATTGCCTCGAGATTGTGACGATGAGTTCTGGGATAAGCCCATTCCCGGCCATTATTCTCAACAGCCATCAGGCAGGCTGACCCTGGTATCCTACTTCATCCACTTGACGAGACTGCGGGCTATTCAAGGGTTTGCACTGCGTACGCTCGTATGTTGCTTCCTTTCAAGGCAGAATCTAGTGTGACTCATAGCTCACAGTTTTCTGCCTCGCGACGAAAGCAATATGAATGGGAAGAACGTGTAATTAAGAAAATGAACGATATGCTGGCGTCCTGGGCGGCGAATATCCCCCCACACCGTCAGTTGCTCTCGGATGTGGAATGTCGCGGAGTTGGCTGACATATTGTAGTCATATGGAATCTGGGCCAAGCAGACACTCCCTTTTCGAGGCAATCCACTTTGCTCTATGGGATGTACTACTACACCCAAATCATGATTCACCGACCTTTCGTCATTTGAGCACACCGGACTACGCCTCTCGGGACCTCTTCATTGGTAACCTGTAGGCAGGCGGCAAGGCAGTTGTCTTGCATCATGGAGGTGCAGTTGGGCAGAGGCGCCGCCCTAGCCCAGGTCAATGTTGTGAGTCGGATGTCCCTTGTTGGTTTGACATGCTCGTTGACTACCAAAGATCCCTGCCTTCACTGCTGCAAGTTTTCTGTTGCTGTCGAGATTTGGCGATAGAACTGGTAATACAATGGACGAAGATATGAAGGACGTCTACACATGCATGACGATGCTCAAACTGTGCGAGACCAAGTGAAGAATTCGTACTTTGAATCATGCGAATACTGCAAGCTGATCCTTTGTTAGGTGGCTCCTTGTGGGACGATATTGGTGCAAGTGTTCATTGTGTCCTGTGAATGTGTACTGAAACCGCTCCAGGGATCTTCTGTGCGAGATAATCACAGTGAACCAACTCAGTGCTCCTGCAGCAATTGATGCTTCTGAGGAAGCCATTGCGTCCTGGGGAAACCAGGGTGGCACAGCCAGCGGCGACAACCCTGGAGGTTTTGCAGGTATTTCCAGAGTTGCCGTTGCGGGGACCGTCGGGGGCCATCCAAACAACGTGGACACCTATGAATATGTATTACCGGAAGAGCTGCTCGCAGACAAATCGATGGACACAACCAACCTTGCCTACTTTCAATCTGATCTCAGCCCGGGCGAGCCATCGGGTGCTGCCAAAGGTAGCTCGGTGTTCACTACGAATAGCCTGCAATCCCTGTTTGACAACGGTGTTCCGTTGTGGACGAAGTAAGCGGATATATACGCTTTTGCTGACCAATGGCTCATAAACACGCATAGTTGGACCCGGCTCCTCACTGGCAGAGATGATACACCACCACTCCCTGGAAGCATCCCGTAATGTATATATATTGTGTTCGTGCCGTGGTGCTTCGTTATTGATGGTAATGTGCTCTGCAGTAGATGCATTACCAGACACTGTGAATTTTTGACACTGCCAAAGTTTTTGAACGAAGTGTGATTTCGTTGGCCACCGTTTATCACATGATCATGAACACCTTTGTGCACCCCAAAGCTTCCAATAACAGTTCATTGTTTGACATAATGATGGCAAAAGAACTGTGCCGGCCAGGAGTCGAGCCTGGGTTTTCACGGTCCTGACTCAAATCCCGCTGAGGCCACAACGTGATGATCTAACCACTAATCTACAGGGACCGGACGCCGAGGTAAATTTAGTATATACATCATGACTCGTTGAAGCTACATAGCAAGTAATTCCACTCTTACGTGACTCATGCTGCTACAGCTACTTCAACGTTCAACCCTGGCACGCTGTCGCGGCGCTCGAAGCCTTGCTTGAGGACACATACACTGTACAGAGATAACCGACGAACTGAATCCAGTATAATGACCGTCGGTACAGGTGTTAGCGCGGCGCGCAGATCCTTGCCTCAAGTCGGCAACATGACCGACTCCACAGTGTGCATTAGGACCAGGGCAACTGACTGGCGCGGAGGCCATCGGAACCGATTGCCCAACTTAGGAAATGGATGTTTGTCCAATCAACACGGACGAGGAACGGTCTTCATACCTATCACTCAACCTGCGGCGATTTGCCCCACATCCGATGCGACTTCGTTTTTCGGCGCATTCTGATAGGTTGGAGTTAATACGTTGAGGCGGCCCCGGGTTGAAACTTATGTCGAGCAGCGGCCCGCTTTGTTGGATTCTGCCAGAGATACGCACCGTCAGCTCCATCTCATTAGACATGCATGAGCCGGTGGCAAGAGCAGTTCCTCATAAAATAATAATCGTAAGTATGTTTAACTGTGTGGCATACACCGGCAAATCATCAGCGGTCGAAACAACGACGAAACACGGCAGTGAAATGAGGACACGTTCGGATGTACGGGGATACAATTGGAGATCATTCTTCTTCGTCACTCTCCTCTTGTTCCTGAAGGAACTATACAATGGCAGGTCAGTGCGAGAGATACGATACCCCGAACGAATGCACAGTACCTTCACGAGCGGTTCGGTAGCCTTCAAGAAGTGCTGCCTTCCCTGAGGCTTCGACCCCTTCTGATACCAGTAGATGATGGCCTGGTCCGAGATGCAATCCTTGTTGTACAACACCTTGAGAATGTTCGGGAAAGCCTTCATGATCTTCGTCTGCTCGTAGCAGTACGTCTGAACGACGTTGATGAGCGCCACCTCGGTCTTGGCACCGTTGCAGAATGGCTCAAGAACAGGAGCGTATTTCTAAACACTCATGAATGAGCATCCCAGTGGCGACAGAAGGCGCCAAAAGTCGTACCGTCACCTCGCGCATGGCGAGACCTTCAATCTGGTCGGGACGCGCACTCCAATCGATGCTGGCCACGAAGCCTTGCCAGATGCACGCGACGAGCTCCGATTCAGGTAGCGGTTGCTCCTCCTGGCTGCTCTTGATAAACTCGACGAGCTGCTCAGGCGATTCGCCATGCTCGCAGCGCTCCTTGAGTTCCGCGATAATCGTCTCGCGCGCAACGGCTGCGCGCTTCTTGACCCACCACTCGGCGACCTGCGGTAGGCCAGCCTGGCGGAAGTGCTCGTCGAGCATCTTATCCTCGCGCTTATTGGGCGGGAAGAAGGCGAGCAGGTCGCGCACGCCGCCCTTGCGAAGCGCAGTGGCGAGGTGGTCCATGGACTGCTCCGATAGGTATGCCTTGAAGATGGTGACAAGCACGTTCGACGCAACGTCTGCGAAACGATCAGATTGAGCACGCGTCCCGAAAGGAAAGGACGCACCATTCTTGACAAGGTGATCCTTGGTCAGGGACTGTAGGCAGCTGGCGCTGGCCAGGCCTGTGGCCAGCATGAGTCCAATCGCGATGGAGAGCTTATCTCTCTGCTCGGGCGTCCAGCGATGGATATACTGGAGGAGGCCAGGGAGCGATTGCTCCTCGAGCGGCTTCTGTAGATACTTGTATCTGCATATACGCGCTCAAAAGCCGCGAATTTTGATATCCATCGAGAGATCGATACCTTCTGATGAGTTTGTTGAGGACCTCGACATAGTTTTTCATGTCAGCCACCTCGGCCGGTTCCTTGGCCCGGAAGACAGAGAAAGGCGACGACGGCGCGTCTTCGTCGAGGTAGCTGCCGCCCGGCTGGAGGAGGCCGCCAACGAGGAGGAGCTCGAAGAGAACGTCTGCATACTTGATATATTCAAGCGTCGATCCCGCTTGGATGAGTTTGGTCGCAAAGCCGTCAAAGTCGCCTTGCGGGACGGGTTCGAGGTGCTTGTAGAGTTGGTCGCGGAATACTGTACGTCATGGGCTATCGTGTGAGAGACGGCCGGTGCGGTGGGGAGCGTGTTCGCTGACCTGTGGGCTCGTGCTTGGCCGATGCTTTGACGGCGCGTTTCCTGGCTTTGATGCGGACCCCCTGCAGCGAAGGCTTTTCTGCCGCGGATGGCTGAGACATACACAGACGGGAGTTGCGATCTCTGAGATGGATGAGATCCTGGAGGGGGGAAGGAGAGGAAGATAACTTGGGGCGGTCCCGATGATGAAGATGGCACTTGATCCAACCAGCGCGCCACCGCGATATATCTCTTTCAGATCATCTCACCGATCGGTTCGGAATCAAGACACGACGTCCTGGCTATGTTCGACGTCCAAACGATTGACAGCTCTTTACAGTAGACTGCTGTCCAAAACATGCCAGGTATACGTACCGTGTCGGGAGATCGCGTGTATGACATCCTTGAATGCGCATACAATGCATGTACAGATTGTGCTGTCTAGACTCCAATCTCCTGCACAACGGTGGGTTGCATTGCTCGGAGCCTAGACCTCTATTGTACGCACAGCATATACTCGAGCCACATCGGACAAATAGTAACGAGCGCGGTGACCGGGCACCGCACGGACGAGGGTTACATATGGGTCGGCGGCGCCCGTCTGGCGAGGGCCGCCGAGTAGGGGAAACATACAACACGGAATAACAATAACTCTCGAAAGCGCCGAGAGCAAGAGGCAAACGTATGTGCAGGACGAGGGTTGGAGAAGGGGGACGGGATCAGTGCATCTCCGACTCGACGTTGAGCTGCCGCGAGTGGCGCCTGTGCGCCTTGAGCGCTTCGGGGGCGGGCGAGGGTGCACGCTTGGCTGCGCGCTTCGCTTTCCTCTCGAGGCTCGGGCTGGAGCGCTTGCAGGTCTTGCGGGTGGCGCTGCTGGACGCCGACGCAGCAGAGGCGGAAGAAGTGGCTGAGGAGGACGCGGGGGCCGACTCGACGCCGACAACGGCCGCGAGCGAGGACGTCGCAGCGGCGGCGGTCTTGATCGCGCTGCTGCTGTGCTTGGAGCTGGCGGCAGTCGAGTGGGTGGACGTCGCGGACGCCTTGACGGAGGAAGAAGCCGACTTGAAGCCGGACTTGACGGTCTCCGTCGCGTCGCCGCAGAAGGAAATGAGGATGTCGACGTTGTCGGCCTGGCACGCGACCTGGACCTGGTTGTCGTCCGGCACGAAGAAGGCGGTGTCGCAAGTGCTCGACGAGCAGGTGGCACCGGTGCCGTCGCAGCCGTTGAAGTAGCTGAACGACGTCGTGACGGAGAAGGCGTGTGGCGGGATGAGGGAAAGGTCCGCGCTCGAGCCGCACCCTGCGCAAGTAGGGTTGCCGAGCGTCAGCTCCATGAGCGTGCTGTGAATCACAGCGTCAGTCGTACGGTTCGTACAGCGACGTTACTAAATATAGGAACATACCAGTTCTCGCCATTGTACTCGCAGTCGCCGGTCTGGAGGTAGGCGATGGCGGAGGAGAACGAGCCGGTGTGGGTGTAGTCCTCGCCTTTGGAGAGGATGTTGCCGTTCTGCAACAGGATGGGCTGTCGTCAAGACGTTAGCATCCGTCCAACGCACGTTGATGTCTGCGCATGCTCACAGTTCCATGTCCGCACCTATATGGGCGTGATCAGAATCGGATTGATGACAGAGAAAACGCGCATATACGCACTGGTTGTCAAAACGGATGGTGTGGGTCTCCGCGTTGACGAGGGAGACGCCAGTAATAAGGATCGTGGTGAGTGCAACGAGAGTGATGGCCGCCATTGGTGATCTCGGAAAGTGCGAACTGGAAGACACTGGAGAACTGGGCGGGCCCGGGGGCGAGCGTTATATAGCAGAAAAGACCGGAGGGGGAACGCGTTGGTGGGCAAAACACAAGAGCACAACTTTGAGGGTGCGGCGACCCCACCCAGCGGGGACCGTGAGCGCGGGTCTGGGCTCATCTCCATACAGTGCAAGCTCGGCAACGCCCGACCGTCATTTATTTCCAGCAACTTGCTCCTCCATGCCCAAGCAGGCCCGCACCAAGAAAGCAGGCTCTGCCCGGCCGTCCCGCAACAACCGCAGCGCGACGCCAGCAGACAGGCAGGCCGCAAAGGCCAAGCGCAGGCTCAGGGTCGACGGCGCCACCAGGGCAAAGGACGCCGACGTGCGACTCGCGCTCGACAAGGACATGCAGACCGTTTACCAGGTCCGTAACCACCGCACTGCGCATGATCTCATCATCCTGATCCCCTCGCACAGCTCAACCTCACCGGCCAGCCAATAATACCGACCAAGTCGACGCCGAGCGAGCCCACCGATGCTTCACTGGCCGCCCTCGCAGACTCCCTCAGCGGTTTGTAGGGTTCGGTTGCCTCGTGGGGCACGCCTTAAACGTCCCCGAAAGTTTTACCGGAGGTAGGTTTGCGCACTCCTCATTCAGAAACTCCATGTTCATGTGCCTTTTCGGCGTGCCAGAGACCCTAACCTATGACGGGTTCATGGTTCATCTGAGACGGCTTCTGGCCACACTTTGCCCCAGGTTAAACGCAACCTGCCAGGTTCGCCAGGATGGACTCGTGAGGAGGAGGAGGGCCCTTTGGCAGAAGACGCGTTGTATGCGACCTGGATGAATGAAAGAAGCCCCCAAACAGTCCCCGAGGTTTTCACTGGATGCTTTGACGTTCAATATGGGCGAACGACACGCATGGCCTAGCAGGCGACCGACTGACGAACTGACAGTCATACCGCCACAAAGTGCTTAAGGGAACTCATAACTAGCATTTCGCGCGTAACTACGTAACTACAGCATACACACATTGTCGGGGCTATCTATCGAGCAATGGTACAGTAAAGTAAGGCGAGAGTTATACCTCGCCCACAGACATTCGGCAGGTCAAAGCAGTCGTTCACTACTTTTAGCGAGCAGCAAAGAGAGGGAGCGAGCATGGTTCAAGAAAGAAGAGAGAAGGAGAAAGAGCAATCGTCCTATATCCGCCCACGCAAACGAGCAACCCACCGGATCCAGCCCAGCTCTCGCAAGGTCATCCATCCGTCCATATACATACACCCTTATCTTACCGACGCAAGACCCTAATTCATGTCCTCCCAATTCGGCCTCGGCGCTGAGATGCTCAGCTTGCCCATTTGTTTACGCTGGCGAAGGTTCTTGACCTCGGTGTTGATCAGGTCTCGGAGGCGCTCAAGATCGATGCTTCGCTCCGCGCGCGAGCCCATGAGCAGGTTGCGCCAGATGCCCGCCGCGGCAACCGAGTTGTCAATCCCAAGCTGCAGCGGCCGGTGAAGGCGCACCATTTTCTGCATCAGGTGGTCCGGCGACGGGTAGATGGCATTCGGCCACGCGATTCGGATCGCGAACCACCACCCGAGGGGCTGTATCAGACACGCGTGAGCGGAAACATGTAAATGAATGAACGGGATACGCACGCGACCATCGGGAAGACAACGTTCGGGATACGTGTCGTACGTAGTCAGCGATCCATCAGGCAGGGAGAATCTACCAAACGAAAACAACATGAGCGAAGTGTCTAGTCTATCGAGCACGCGCGAGCCACGTACCGATGCACGACCCAATGGTTCTCATCCGAGCGATGTTTCGCGAGCACGATAAGCAATCGGGGCATGCCCTCCAGTCCGAACGGTGCCCACAAGTCCCTTAGCATCGCACAAGCGTCGCCGTGCCGGCCGTTATACACCGCATTGCTGATCGCGTCAGCCATGTTAGGCGGTACGAACAGACGGTCGACGCGTCCCTGCGGCGAGTCCGTCATCTTCGCGCGCACGTACCGCTTGTACGTTTGCGTGGACCAGATGCTCAGCGCAACCTCGTCGATCTGGTGCCCACGCGTCGTGCTGTTCAGCGCGCTGTCCAGCTCGGACATCGGCCACACGATTGCCCAGCTCAGCAGCCGCTGATGAATACGCTGCCACGGCGGGGGAAGATCGTCAACGGCTTGGGTCCATTGCTGTCCGTCTGCAGATGGTTGCGCTTCGATTGGGACAGGCGGCAGCGGAGGTGATGTGAGCCCGCCCTCGGTGTACGCCGCGTTGGTGTCAGGGATCTCGGGAATGCCGGACTCGGTGACGCCCCCACGCTGGGTTCGATCGTCGTCTTCATCATAATGATCTTCCCGGGCAACTTCCCACGTCTTGTGCGTGAACGCCGACTGACTTCCGCCACGGACGCGCAGCTTGTACAGCTCTTCTTCAAGATACTGCTGACCCAGCGACTGCTGCGACGTCTCCTGGTCGCCGGTCATGTACTCGCTCTGGCCGCGAGTCCGTGTCATAGTATCCGGCTCGTCCTCGAATTCGTCCATATCACGCGACCCGTCGTAGCGGTGCATGGACCCAACAGTGCGACCTGGAGCGGTAGACTCGACGACTAACTCGGTCCCTGGAGGCATGAAGGCGGACTCGTCAGCGACGGTGCCGGTTTGTTGCCCGTGCAAGTGGGCGGCGTGCGCCATACGGTCAATCTCTGTCGGTGTGAAACCCGGTTCGTTGAACTTGGGATTGTGGTCAGCGTAGGAGCCGCCTTGCGACGATTTGAGCTCGTCGATCTTTGGCTCGAGCCGCTCGAGCCTATCGGTCACCAGATCCATGCCTTGAAGAATTTGCTTTGCCCATTCAGGCGGCTCCTACAGGTAGAAGTGAGCCAACCGTAGGGAACCCCGACAACAGACGTACCTGTGGCCATGCTGGCGGCTGGTAATCAGGCTGCAAATGCACGCTTGGATCATGATCATGATACTCTTTTCGCAGCTTGATGATCGACTGCTTCATAACATCAGTTATGGTCGAATTTCTCGTAAGGTGATGCTGCGGACCTCGTTATCGTACTTCATCCCGAGCTTCCTAACTCGCTGCCTGACAGCTTTGCGTGCAGCTTTCTTGAGCAACTCATGCTGAGTTGGGTCATCGAGTGCATGCATCAGCACACAAAGTTCCATATCGTGGAAATGCGAATTCTGGATTTCAGGCTCCAGGGTTGATGCGGCGTAGCTAGTCCGGTTGTAGGATGGTTGATGCCGGAGAAGGTTGCGTACGGCTTCTTCCTCCGCAGGATTGAGGGCGTCAGGAGACATGGCGCGCTCACGATCGGCGGTGCGGGTCGCGCGAGACGGAGCTGCGGAGGGTCCACGAGAGGGGGCGATGGAGGGTCCTACAGATGGAGGGGCAGGAGGCATTGCCGCGTGGAACAAGTCTTGGGTAGTATGCCCGTTCCGGAAAGGGGACATCACTCTAGGGGAGAGTGGCACTTGGGATCGGCCTGACGCGAAGGTGAACGGGCTGCTCAAACTAGATGAAAACGAATGACAAACCAGCGGCACTGCGAACAGGGGAGGCATCGCGGATCCTAGATCCGCTCTCGCTAGGAACCTCAGGAACGGGTGCCATGGATGGCGCTTTCGAAGCAGATGGCCGCACCTTCGGCGGGTTGGAAAGGGATTCGGAGGGGGTAAGCGAGGGAGCTTTCGAAATTCGAGAGTACGCCTTGGACGGAGCTTTCGATACCGTAGACTGCTCGCCGTCATCGGGGCGGGATTTCCGGGATACCTGCGACTTTGCGTTCGGGGACATGGGCCTTTCGGTCGGGGCCGCTTTCGTACCGGATCTGGGGGACATCGGCTTTTTGTGAAGTCAGTCAAGCCGCATGGCCACAAATACGTAATTGAAAGACATACGACCTCATTCTGAACGGTCGATGTTCCGCGGTCTCCGTCGGGATGATGTGACAACTTCGATCCAGCGCGCGAGTGCGTGGCACGGGTGCGTTGAGTAGATGGTGACTCTACGCGGACATTGACAGTTGGGCTGCTCGAACCGTTCCCCTCATTCGTAGGTGATGCACCGTAGTACTGCATTTCTGGGTTCAAGGCGTCGTCAAAAGAGCATCGGGACTCTTACGCACATTATTGATCGTGACGTGGGTCGGGATACCATTCAGCCCGGATATCCCGAGGCCGTCGACAGGTAAAGGACCCTTGTTGCCCCAAGAGCCGTGGGATGGAAAATGTGGACCAGGCTCATCCTCCGGACCTGGTTCTCGCTGTTTATAGCTTTAGCAACGCCTCGAACAGGCGGTGGCATAAAACCACGCACCTCAGGGATCTCGTCATCTGCTACTTGCGAGGTACTCTCAATCTGAACATTGGTTTGCATGTCCTCCTCGTTGGGATGGCCCTCCCATCGTCTCCCCATTTCGTCCCTGAACCCGCCAGTGCGCTGGGACATGGGGGAAGCAGCACGAGAGTGTCCCTTCGGAGTCCGTTGTCCGGTTGTTTCGCCGTCCATGATGGTGCTTGGCCTTGAAACTGGTGACATAGGTCCATCCCTTGACATGCTCTCGAGATAGAGCAGCACTGACATCTGTTATAAACGCAAACCGTGACTAATGCCGAGCAAACTGACCTTTCTCGCTGGGCGCTGTGCATCGTTCCATCAGCCTTTCAGGTACTGATCATAATAGTGTGCTTCTGCGCGCACCTGGAGTGCTCGTCCGAAGCAGAATCGGTCTGAGGACCTCATTCTGGCTACCAACCGCAGACATAATGTGGGATTGCTGGGGGTGATGGTACTGCAGTAGAAGTCGGCACTGAGGGGGGTTTTCGCAAGATTTCGTCCTCGAAGTAAACAAATTATGGTTAGGAGTGTGTTTCGCGTATATTATAGGTCGTAACAGGTCCTATGAACGTAGCTCAGAGGTCGTCGGGACAGTATGAGTAGCGGTACCGCATGTTCAACCGTGGAAACCTCATACTTGTCACGTGCACGATCTCCAGACGAGAGTCTCAGTCTGTCGACCTACTTATTCGTCCTACCAGTCCCTGGTGCGACGGCATTTGCCTATTAATGAATCAGCTCGGAATATGCTGCAGTGATGTTGATGATAAGCTGAATGCAGGCAATGGCATCCAGTGAGCGCATGTCGGATATGGAGATCTACGGAATCTTGATTGCCTCCTTTTTTCATCAATGGAAGGGTTCCGTCACTTCCGTGCACTGCGTCGTTCTATCTGACGCGTTTATAAAAGGTTACTTATGGTATTCCGTTACCCTGGTGCGGCGGATATTGCCGTATGCGAGCTTTCCTTCTGTTCAACGTTCGCCATGCGTACTCATCTCTGCACGGTCGTGGTACTGGGTAGCGTTTTACTCCATTATGAGGCTCATAACACGACCAGCCCGTCCGATCGCAAGATAGCGGTAGTTTCCAATACAGCAAGCTCACCGTCCGTAGTTCAGTCGCCTTCCGCCATCAACCACTGGGCGAACTGGTCAAGACGCTTCTTCTCCGCTTCTTCGTCGTCTCCCTCCACAAGGTCGGCACCAGCGTTACCGCGTTTGAACCTCTGTCTGCCAGCGTACAACGATGCCTCAATTCTCCTGCCCGCAAAGAAACGACCATTCATTCTCTGGGTGGTCGTGTGTTTAGCGGACCGCCTGTCAGTACAGAACGATAAAAACCTACAAGAACGCAAGCCCGCGCGCTGATCGAATCCCGGAATTTGACCGTCATGATCCCGTCGGGCTCTTTCTGCGTCATGATGAGCCGATCGTCACAAACAAATCTATCGTTTACTCACATCATACAACACGACATTTGTGACTTCGCCAAGAGTTTCGCACTCCTCTCGAACGTCTTCCTTCAGGTCCAAAAGCAGAGCGGGATCTTCTTCAAGTTCTTGCAGAGTAAACATGTACTTGAGCACCACCACTCGGCTGTTCTTATTAATTGTCTTGCTTTCATCTTCTTCGGTTTTCGCGGGGCCGAATGCATCTTCATCATCCCACTCTTCCAGCTTTCTGATGTCTAGATTCAGCGCACTAGGTCCAACGCGTTGATGGTGGTACGCACTTCTTCATGTTGTTGATCCTCCTGGTTGCTTTCTTCCTATCGATTGTCTTCCGAGGAGCATGTCCCGCAGCCTCTCCATCCGCTTTCGCGTGATCGTCTCCTTGTTTATGCCCGAAATCCGCCTTCGCCACCTTCATCCTCGTGCTCGGATCCCCTATTCTCAGCTCCGCATCGTCCAACATCGTCTCCGCTAAGGTCACGGATTCTTCCTTAAAGTAAACGACCAATGCCTCGCCACTGAACGTCCCGTCATCCTTCGCGTACATCTTCACCTTCGGTTCCCCGTCGTCATCTTCTTCCAGCACCCCGAATTTGCGGAACCGCTCTATAAGCTCGTCATGCGTCGTGTCAAGAGGTAACTGTGTCACGTAGACAGCAGTATTCTTGGATTTGCGTTCTCCTGCAGCCTTCGGTGGCTTCACCTTCGCTTTTTTTATGTTCACCGGGTCAGTAGACTGCGTAGCGGAGGTATAATCCTCAGGTTCCTTCCGCTTCTTATTGAGCCGCTTGGCCACGGGTGCTGCGGGCGCCTGATTAGAGTCAGGCAAGAACGAGGAGTCACCAGTGGAATGGGCACACCTCTTCGTCGACTCCGGCTACCGAATATGCAGCTTGCTGGCTTTTGACGACATCATCGTCAAGCTGAAGTCGAGATGAGTCATACGCAATTCCCTTCGACTGCATGTATCGCTTACGACTGGCAGCCATGCGTTCTTCCCTACGTCCCATTCCATTTCGGTTCCATCGTCCGCTTCGAAGCGCCATGTGTTTGTCTCCTTGGATAGATATACGCGCTCGTCTGTACTGAATGGCGCGGAATTAGATCCAGACGGCGTGGGGTTAACGATAGGCAGTGAAGTATGAGACATGACGGTGGTGGAGGTAGCAAACGTTCGAAAGTCACAGCTCATATCTCAGACGTCACGCGGCTACATAATACCCTAGCGCGACCGCCGACGACTAGCCGCCGCGCTGCATATTCAACGTGCAAGTCCCCGTACGCATAATGCATGCGTCCACGAACGTCACTGTGTTAAGCACCTGAGCACCTCTACTTAACAAGTATCATCGGGAAGTATGAGTGAGGATCATGCGGCGCGTTCTCCGCTTCCTGAGGTACCCATTTCTTGAAGGGTGTCGGAAGCGTCGGCGGGAGGTTCGATTTCGAGAACACCTTCCGAGTGGACGCAAGTGAAGTGATGGTTTCAGCCAGGTCCTTGCCTTGAGGCTTCTCGGCAAGAGCAGGCACAGAGGAGCTCTCGGGGGAGGGTCCGGTCAACAACCTAGAAGGACGTCATACACAATCTCGGACTCTGCTTGGAGGGACGTACGCCTGGTTCTCCGGGTGCTGTAGAAGTAAGGATGCGAGCTCCGGTTGTGTTACCACAGACAGCCGCGGGTACGCTCGGCGGACATCACGTTTCCAGTACGGGTTCTGCGCAGGGTCGGAAGCTACGTAGGATGAGTGAGTAACGCCCTCAATTTCGCACAAGTAAATACCATACCCTTGGTGGCAGGAGTTGAATACCTCTCTGGCCTCGAGCCAGGAGGAGGGTAACGGTTGACCCCAGCTATGGGTAGACCGCTCGAGATCTCCGGATTCACAACCACGGCGTCACCTAAGGGACGTGGTCAAGCGCGTGGCCTGTGTAGAACCACCGCTGAATACGCACGGAACTTCTTCCAAAAGCCCTTGGGACTTAGATGATAAAGAGTGTGGTCCGCTAACTTCTTGGTAGCCATACCGAGATGGTCGAAGGAGGTCAAGTGTGTCGAGCCGCGACCCTCGGGAGAGTCCGCCTCTTCTCCTCGTTTCCTCCTTGCATTTTACCCTGGTGGATCAAGCTTGCACTCCGTCAGCGGGAATATCGGGACCACACGTTCTATCTTTGCTTTCTCTTGTGCCCTGCAACGAAATACCTGGCTGTGACCATTGCACGGGTGAATGAATGGCGGGCCCGCACACATCACATAACGGCGTTGTCCCGCATGAACTTCAATTCTGTCATCCGCGATTATTCCAGCTTTCCAGCCTGTCTCATCACCGCAAACTGAATCAGAAGGCGCAACTTCGCGGCCATTTCTGATAGTCTTCGTCGTTCAGATTATGCATGATGAGCACACTCGTCGTGATATGGCGCAATGCGGATGAAACGCAGAATGTCTATGGCCGATTCTGGCGTCGTCACACCGAACTGTCGCCATCCACCGTTCAAGTCGACGTGTTTTGGTAATCGGAGTCGGCAACGTACGGTATAAGAGCAGGGAATCGTCGTGTCACCGAGGTCGTCGCTGCCTCATGTCTGTGCTCACAGTTTCGCCTCAGGAGACCATCTTGGACACCCTCCCCTTCCCTCCACCGCCGGAGGCTCAGGAGTTATCTATGAACAGCTGGCTTAGCGACTCGAACGACCAGCGTGACACTATATTCTCAACGAGCGCCCCTTTGCGTGATCCTCACCAGCCGCCATCTTTCAATCCCAGTACACCTGAGGATATTCTATACCTTCCACCTCTTCTATCTTCATTGCCGTCGTCTTCCACGTTGGCCAGCACAGCGACGCGCTTACCCTCGATTGACCCTGCATCGCTCTCTCTGCACAAAGCATTGCATAGTTTCTGCCCCGTGACGTCCGAGTACGCTTCTGTTCCATACGCTGATGCGTTCAACTGGTCAAATCTGGAGCTGGACGTGGAATTGGAGAGGGAGTGGTACTGTGTTGTCTTCCGGAGCAAACGACGAGCAGGCAGCGATGCGGGCCGTAAGCGGTGTCATAGTTTCCAAATGCCTTATGCTAACAGGCTTCGCTCAGCATTATACGAAGCAGATAAACAAGCTCATGAGGAGGCCGTACAAAACGGCGGTGTTAGTGAAACCTGCGCCCTCTTCTTCACCGGAACTGACCAACTTGCAGTTAATCATGTATTGGTATGGGACACCGCATCCCATAACCGGCGTCAACCTCGCGACGTGCATATGGCAGTCACGCAAGCATGCAGTAGCTGCTAACTCCCGTCCGCATCATATACGGGCCATGAAACTCGCAGCTCAATCGTACGAGTTGTACGACCTGGAGCGCTACAGACTGAAGAAGATTGCGGGGCAAAAACATGTTATTGTCGAGTCCTATGTTTACGGCGAGGTCGGATGGTGACTAAATAGCTTTCGTTGTCATCTCGAGCACTCTCGTTACATCGTTTTCATGACCTGGATATACACTCTAGATAGCATCTGTCATGTAGGATTATAATGATACACTGTTCATATGGTCGAAAGTTGTTTAACCATGCGTCAAAGGGTCGTCAGTCATTTTGGAGTTCACCACCAAGAAAGTAATGGTTTGGTCTTGACGGGCTCCAACCTCTGCAGATCGCGTCAGGATTATTCAGTGTCGAGACGGTTTGCTCTTACCTCCACAATAGCGATGCGCTTCTTTGTGCCTTCAGCCTCCGTTTGCAACATCCAATCGAGGCTCTGGGGTCCTTGCTGCTGGGCCTCATGGCTGCCCCATCGCGTGTGCAAACGAGAGGGAGACACTTCCAAATGCGACATTGACTTCGACAGCGCTGCAACGTCTTCCTCCGTGGGCTCAGGCTCGTCTGTTTGTTCATCCACTTCACCCAATGATTCCGGAGCTGACGGCGCTTCCGGGACGACTGGCAGCGGCGCAGACCGAGGTGATAAGAGCGGTGTTCCACTGCTTGACGATTGTGATGAGCTGGAGCGCATCAATGGCACTGCGATGGGTCTTGACTCTACGACGTCGGCTTCCTCCTCGTCCTCCTCCTGCGCATTGCCTAACCGAGCCAACGATGCTTCAACCTTATCCAGGCGTTCCATATGTTCGAGCACGGTGACGCCCGTTGTTGCCGGATGCACACGCTGAAACTTGGCGGAGAATGGCACTGGACGGTTGAGCTCTGTCGACGTGCGGCGTATCGGCGGAGGGAAGTCGCGGGCGCCCAAGCTTTGGCTACGCGAATGCCGGGGCAGGGGAACCGTGTTGATGGATATCTGAGGCGACTCCGGAGTTTGCGCAACCGCGGACGCCAGACTTTCCTCCGCAACTTCAAGTTCGTCGTCCCACACCAATACTTTCTCCCGCCGTGTGAGCTCCAGAGGTCCTATGCGGGCTGAGTGAGCAGGGTGGTAGCACCACAGGTCCTGCCTTACCTTCGTCGACATGCTTCAATGACTGGACTATATTGTAGGCTTGGCCTTTCATGACAGCAAGTTGTCGCTGATCTCGGAAGTAAGCAGTGCAGTTCATCCATATCGTCATTGAACGTACCCGGAACATTTTGGGGTGGAAGTCGGGGTCCACTTCAAATAATTTGCGTAGTTCGTATGTAGTCTCGGCCCACCATTCTTTGGAAGTGAGGAGCGGCAAAAAGTGGTTTCGCGTTTTCTCGCTGAAAGGACGGCCAACAATGCTCACGGGCAGGAAAAGCCAGCCGTACGTGTAAGACCGCCATCCTTTCGGGTGCTAGAAGCACGTTAGCTCGAGAAGGATTCTCATAGTAAGGATTCTCGCCTCATGGGGGAAACTGAGAGAATTGTCGATGGCGGCTATATGGATATGAGGTTTGCTCGTGTATGTCGGACGCCCATCGCAGCCGGACCCTGCAGCAATGGACATCGCCGGCGTCCAGCTCGGTTGGTGCGATGAACCAGCCTCGTTAACCTTCAGCTCGCTCATCTGCGGCTGTCCATTTCCTGGGCGCGATGGAGCAGCGTTGGAATTCTTGTCGCTCACACCTTCACAATACTTGATCATGTAGTTGTCGGCGCCACGGTCCGTATTACGCATCAAATAATCTAGGATCACGAGTCTGAAGCATTAGGTCAGAAGTTAGGTAAACGCGCTCGAATGCTGTAGAACGTCACTTTTCTAACTCTTCTCTGAAGCTTTGCTGCAAGGACTCGCTCCAATAGAACGGGCGGTTGACGTTGGCTTCCTCTGTTGCATCATACAGCACACGATCGTCGTCAGCTTCGTCGTACGCATCATCCTCGCCTCCAGTTTTGCCACAGATGATGTTAAGAGCAGACATGAAACGCTTGCTGATGTTCCCTGTTCGATGGTTGGAGTCATCGAAAGTATCGGAGATAGCGCGGCCAGGCCATGGATGTTTTCGCAAGAAATCGGAAGCATCGGTGAAGCCGTGCATGAAGTACCTATGGCTGACGTTAGGACCGAGAAGTGTTACGTAGGAAGAAACGGACTGCATGGATCCGATCTTTTCCGGTAAAGGTTTGCCATTCTTCGCCGCGGTTCTATCTATCCAGTCGTAGAAAAAGGCCTGCTTTACGTCGTACCAGCTGGTGAGAACACGGGAATGACACTTACAGGGCTTGATAATGATACAAGCTCGGTGCGAGGTACCATATACAACTGCAAGCGTTCATCCAGGAAGGATGCGGCTGCCTCGGAGATGTAACTGAAGATGGCCCACGATCAACGTCTGCGTGGCGCTTGGTCATGCTGTACTGACCTCAAATTGGGTATAAGGCAAGCGCGTCCAAACGGTATGATCCACCGCAATTGTCGATGTAACCATTTCGTGGTCTTGGGGTTCAGTTGTCCGTATGGCTCCTCGTCCTTCGGCTTGAACACGCTGAGGAGGGTTGGTACACATGGACAGTCTGTGGAAAGAGTATACTTACCCCACAGTTCGTATTGTACCATCAACTTTAGCACGGGCGAAGTATGACCCTATGTTCACCCAGCGGTCAGTTCTTATCCGCAAAGTAGGCGCAAAGTCCAACCTGAGGAACCCTTGGAAATCAACTTCGGATGTATACCCTCCGCAATAGCAGATCGAACTGAGTCCACTAGGCTTGGACCTGTCAGCGCAACGGCAAGGAGCAGAGACCGGCCAGACACACCTCTTGAAGTCCCCTTTCGTCATGGGCGGTTTATGATCCAATGTCTGGGCCGGCCAGACAATATTTGGGTTGGGTACGACAGGCGGGTCGAATACACTTCTAATAATCTCCTTCTTCTCGTTGCTCTCCGGTTTCTTCTTGCGCTTGACCTTCTGAGCAATCGAGTCCGTCCAGCTGAGTATACGAGGCTCGGCATCCATCCCGACATATACTTATAGTACATGCGCACCGTTTGAACGCAAAGTCCAGCTTGCTCAAGTCTATGTGACCTCTGGACTGTCGTCTCTGGCGCTTAGGTGCCGTAACCGGCCCCGGCAATAGCTGATCCTCTTCGTCCTCTTCGTCATGTTGTGCAAGCGCCTGGTATTCCGAACGACTGGGCATGCTGAGGCCGCCGAGTAGCCTGTATCAGGCAAGGAGAAAAGCGTTTATAGACAGCAAAGCGTTTATTGGACGATCGGGCGTTGCGCGTCCAGCAAGGCGTGTCGCGAACGTGGCTGCGCCCGCGGCACAGCACCGATCAAGGCGAAGTGCTCCGCCTTCGGCTTCGGCAACTTCCGATGACCATGCTGGCGGGCGTTTATGTACTTCCGCGCTCATCAGAACGCTTCAGCGTCGTGGTGCAACAACTAAAGAGATACTGATATATGCTACAGTATATTGATACACGAGATGCGCCCCTGTCATGGTTCCTCTGCTAGAGTGGGGGCGTCAGAACGACCACTATACGGCGATGCGGCAAAAAATCGCAGACCCTCCGGAAACGGCGGTTTGGTTAAGGGCACCTGGGTCCTTAGATCTAGCGCAAACAGGCATGGAGCAACAAATGCGGTGCCATTGATAACTGCCGGGACAGTCATCGACATCGTGACCAGCCACACAATGAAGGTCAAAACTGTGCTGTGGGGTTAGCCGCTGTTGGATAGACCGACATACAATATCTCACTAGACCAAGCGGCTCCAAACGCGCGGAAAAATGGGCTGTCCAGGACAGAGGCGAGCTCTATTGAAAGCATCGCGAATACTCCGTTCGGGAAAATCAGACCTGGCAGGAAGAGTAAGCTTGAAATTGCGAAGGAACGCGCGAATACCTTACCCCAGTATGCCACGCTGAAAGGAATGCGGATGCGCTGACGCGCAGCACGCGAATATATGGACAGGCACGCGATAAGTATCCAAGCGATTCCCATTGACCATAGAACGTATGCCCCGCAAACACACACGGCATAGATGGCCTCCCCAGCGGCGGTAGAGACGTTGTTGCCAAGCGGAAGTACAATCGTCTGACCCATAATCTGGCCGTTAACCAGTAGCGAGTATCCTCCTTGTCCAAGAGGGCCCAGTGTAACGAACACAGACAGTATGAGGTCCATGTCTGGGGCGCCGTGGATGCATAGTCGCATCAGATAGATGGTAATGAGCATGAGCGCAAGTGACAATCCTATAGCCAGCATTGTGAACGAGAATGCCGAGGTTATCACGGCCAAATTGTGGTGATTGGGCAGCAGAGCGAGGGCGATGTTGCCGCCAGTAGATGAGGCGACTATAAGGAAGTAGTTAGTATGATACATGCAGACATCGCGGAGTCTTACCGATCAGCGTGACTATAGGCAGTAGCCATACCGCCGTCATTTTATCGATTGTATGTCGTTGATGGGTGATCCTGATCTGTTCATTAGGGAGGGAACACGCGCATCCCCGGCAGTAATGCTTACATCAGGTAGATCGTGCCGAATGCGACTGTATATGATAAGACAGAGTCGATCCACCAGAATGCCCATACCGCCCACAGAAAGGATGAGCCTCCCCAATTCCATCTACTGCTATTTACGACCTAAATAACACGCCGCGTTAACGTAGTTGACCACTGCAGGGATGCTTGAAGGCTTACGAGCGATGCATTGATAAGCGTGGTCGCTCCCATCGGGAAAGCCCCGATGAACATGCTCTGCGCTTGATGTTCTAGCATCAGATCCCATACCTAACAGATCAGCTACGGGTCCTTGAAATGCATGTGCACGTGGCGTACTGTCGGGAACATGATATAACGCGCAAGGGTAGCTCCGCTGATCAGAAGAAATAGCAGCAGATCTAGCATAAAAAAGAACATGAAAAAGACCCTGAGCGGGGCGTTGTCATTGCCATACGGGAAGGCATTGGCTAGGGCGGCCAGTACGCCTGTTCCCATGATGACTGTGTGCCATGCCCAGGTGAAATGGCTAAAAGGAGGCACAAATTCAGCGTATGCTACTCTGTTGGCTGTAGATGTACGAACCGTATACGCTCCCTCCACGACTTCCGGGAGCTCTTGGTGGCGCAAGGCATAGGGATATATACGAGGTTCAGAAGGGTATAGGTCTACAAGTTTTGGGAGAGGGCGCCTGGTGGAATATGCTGCCACGATGGTACGACGCTTGCGGCGCGGGCGGGTCTGCATTATATGGAGAACAGGGCCGGGTGATTACCCAAGTTCGGGTAGGGCACGCCAATTCCGAATGACCTAAAACGGTAAATTCCGAACGTCGGTGGCGTCGAATCACATTCCCGCGCCTTCGCTCGTTTTCGCATGCGCAGGCTCTGTCCCGGAAGTAGCGCGCTACTTACTCTGGCGGGGTCATCCTGGTCGTAGACGCATCATAGAGCTTTTATGGATCGTTCAGTACACATCGGCCAGCTTATGTGGACTTCAACCGCCTCAATATTGACCGGCGGATACTGCATCGATTGCCTGCTGGCCGATTGCTCCCGAATTCGGATTACCCTTGAGTTACGGGTCTTCCGGGAGGACAGAACGTCCGCGTGGCTCCGATTTCCGAATAGTTGGAGACCATCGGCTTCCAAGATAATCAATGCTCGAAACGTCCGGCGGACCAGAATGTTGTCGACTTGCACACTGTGCGGGCATTCCGAACATATTGCCCTTCTGTACTATAGGCTGCGGTGAAGGAGGCCAGCTGGAAGGATGCGCGCCTATCTCCGTGCAAGGATTGGGTTCAGTACTAGTATCGTGTCGGCGATGTCGGATAGCTGTGAATAATCATTCGGAATACGAACATGCATCATATGAAGCATGCAGGTGGTTGAGCGCGCGCGGCGGACGTGAACGAGAATTGAGCGAGAACCCTACAGGAACTTCACCATTCGGAATATCTGGGAAGCATATAGTCAGCAGCGACGTGACGCCACCGTAGCATCATGATGAGCGTTTCACGAGCACGAACACTACTGCGTCAGATCCCATCGGCCTGTACCTATCCGCCCTGCATCAGGACGCTACCTGTGATAGCGCGCAGAAATTTAAACACCCGTTCCTCCCTTCCTCGCCCACATCGATGTTCTCATACCCATGCCTCAAGCTCTGATCACATCTCGACCAAGGACCTGCCCGAGTCCTTCACAAGTCTTTCCCCGGATAGTCCCTCGGTCCACGCCTTCTTTGAGCACGCAACCTCCACATGGCAATATATCGTTGCAGATCCTTCCACCTCTCATGCAGTCATCATTGACCCTGTCCTGGATTACGACCCTGCATCTGGGAATATCTCGACGACTACGGCGGAGACGCTACTGACCTTCATCCAGGGCAACGGTCTCAAGGTTCAAAGGATACTGTGAGCCCTTGCGCATACTTCGTGATTCAGGACGCCTTTTCTGACCCCAATCCTGTATTTTGCGCTTACAACTGTACCTGTCTGTAGTGAAAGTCATGCACACGCCGACCACCTCTCCTCGTCACAGTACTTGAAACGACGCTTGGAGGTTCCCGGCTCCCTGATTCCGATATGCATTGGCGCGCGTATCGAGCAGGTCCAGCACACCTTTGCCACAGTGTACGGACTCGACCCTTCGGTATTCTTGGAAAGTTTCGACATCTTCCTGGAGGACGAAGAAGAGTTCCGGCTAGGCGAACTCGCTTGTCGGGTGATGCACCTGCCTGGTCATACCCCTGACCACGTTGGATACCTCATCGGCGACTCAGTGTTCTGTGGAGACTCTATATTCTTGGTGAGAAGGGGAGCAAGAGAATGAGAGCATGCACTGAAATTTGCCACGACACGATCAGCCTGATGTAGGATCTGCCAGAGTCGACTTTCCGGGCGGAAACGCGCACGCCCTGTATATGGTGAGCATTTTTCCACATGCTATTGGCATTGATCTTAATGAAGTCGTCTCACATTGCAGTCTATGAACCGTCTGCTATCTCTTCCTGATCGCCATCGTATCTTCGTCGGACACGACTACCCTCCCAAAGGGCGTGCACCACGTCCATGCGCAACAGTAGAGGAACAACGACGGGAGAATAAGCACTGCAAGATCGGTATATCTGAAGACGAGTTCGTTGCTTTCAGACAAGCAAGGGACGCTATCCTAGGTTCCCCGAGGCTCTTGCATCAATCTATTCAGGTGAACGTACGGGCTGGAAAGCTCCCCGCTCCCGATCCCCAGGGCAGAGCATTCCTCAAGATACCTCTAAGGAACGGCTCCGCTATCCCATCAACATCTGTCTGATTTAAAGTCCATGCGCGCTGCCAATATGAATGTACCAGCGTTTCATACAAGAGAAGTCTAGAAACACTTTCTGAAACACAGCTCATCCGACGTTCATGGCCGCCTGTCAAGTAGGAGTGTCACAGACGGCCAACTCCGAGCTCGACGGGCGAAGGTACTCCTTCATTACGCGCTCGCATCTCTCCTAACGTACAGCTATATTACTCCTGCAATGCCATCTATTTTTCGGCTTCTTTGTCAACTCTACGAATGCATTCCCGGCTGCCTGCTTCTCGACGGACGCGCTGACAAGTCAGGCAGAACTTCCATTATTATATGAGTCACAACGAGCAAAGATACTGCATAATGGCCTGAATAACAGTCGTGGGCGCAGGCCGAGTACCCGTGGTGGCAAAAACTCGGGCTGCGATGCCATCGTGCCGGTGAGGAGCTCGAGGCAACCTAAACAGTCCGTCAAGCCTTGTCGAGCCTGAGACAGCGGACTTCCCACGGTTTGGCGCTTCGACGGTATCATGTCAACACCTTCCAGGCTGCTTCAAAAGCCAAGCCTGGCAGCTGCTGGGTTCACTGCCAGCTGCTCGCCCATCCACCAACATGCCTTTGTTCTCGCTCAACTTCTTGTCGTCCAAGCCGGTCGCGCATGAGGAGGGTACAGCGGCTGCCTCGGACGTGTCCAAGGATACCGCGATCACCCCAGTTCAGGCTCCTGAACCTGCACATATAGCACTCCCAGCCTCTCCGCCGGCGTCCTCGCAAGATATGCCAGCTCAGCTACGAGCTCCTCCTCTCGCGACGCCGGCTACACCACCTCCCACCAGCAGCGATATCGCAGCCGACGAAGCTCAAGGTGCTCAGAGCTCACCTCCGTCGACAGCCCCGGTGCTGCTCGCCGTACCGTCTGGCACGGAGCTCACGACATCCACGTCTGCCACGACGTCATCAGCATCTGCAGAATCAGCTCAGCTCGCGGTGCAAGAAACCAAGCCTTCGTCTAACCGCCGCTGGTCCATGAAGAACTTGACAGCATGGCGTTCGGAGGCCAAGCTCGAGTCTTCCCAGAGCCCGAAGCGCTCGGGCACGCTCCATACATTGCAAGAGGAAGCCAAGAGGCAGAAGGCCGCAGAGGCGCTCGTGAAGCGTGCGTCGAAGGTTTCCGCGTCCGATCGCAAAGCAAAGGAGTCCGCATATGTCGTGCGTTCTCTCATTGTTGGACCCACGCTCTCGAACATGCCCAGGCCGAGCGGAGCCACCAAGGCTCAGGTCAACAAGGTCAAGGGACAGCTGCTCGAATCAAGGACCGCCAACAAGGTCATCGCGCAACTCCGTGCTTTACCTATCGCCGAGGCACCTATTGCTACCGCAGGAGACCATTCGTCCGCGAAGATCGGTACCGCCACTAAGGGTCATGGTCCTATCCATGCTGTTTGCTTGCCGTTCACCGAAAGCGAGGCGGCGGGCAAGCACTTCGCCAGCGCTGGATACAAAGCTGCCAGTTCTGAAGGCGTCGTTGAACGTGCCTTGGAGGATGTGCCCAGCATCGCTACAGCGACAGTGGAGACTGCGGTTACCATGTTCCAGGACTTGCATATCGTTGATTTACTGGCAGCGCCGAACATGGGCCTCGGCGCCCCAGGCGACGCTCCTGGCATCCTATCAGGTGCTATCCCGGTACGTGGTGAGCCTTTTGTGTCATCACCTGCTGAAGTTCTCGGGTAGACGGCAGAGACGGTGATCAACGGCATTACGCAGATCACGCCTCAACTCATGAATCTCGGCTACGCCATGGGCAAGGCTGTGTACGTGAACCATGAAGGTGAGCCGTTCTCCGCCATGTCCTTGCAACGGAAGCTGACAGACCCTCAGGTGTTTACCCGCCGACGGACCGCATGTCTATACTCACATGTGCGAAGAACGTTACTCCAGCTGACTCGAATTGAAGCTAAAGCTTGTACATCTACAGACTGGTGGGGTCTCGAACTCGTCCTTCCGCCTCCTTCCATCGCATTCCTCTCTGTAAGCTGTTGAGACCGGTCCTTCCGCTTTCGGATATCTGAAACGGCATCATCATAGCATGCTCCGTCCATCGCTCACGCGATCATCAATTTCTTGACCGCCATGTCCGTCGCCAACAGCGGCGTGCGGGAGGTGCTGCCCTTCATACGGTACATCTCCCAGTACGTGGACTTCGAATTTGGCGTGATTCAGAAGATGGACCAAGGGCAAGGCGTCGTTTGTGCTGCAACCTGGTTCGCGTCTGATGTTAGCCGTTCCATTCGCTGTTCGTTGACGTCTCGTTCACAGGATCATGCCTGCGGCATTAGTACCTCGTCCTTGGGATTTTCCTCCTCCCCCTCCTCCATCGGCCTCAGCTCAAGCACCCGCCGAAGTTGACTCAGGAACTCAGACGGACACCTCGGGTGCCGTTCCTTCATCGCCGCCGGAGACTGCCCCTTCTTCTTCCTCTCCGCCAGGTTTACCGACTTCGGGTGCTACACCGCAGCCGCCATCGATCCCAGTTGCTCAGCCTCTACCGAACCCGGGTATCCCAGCCACTGTCCCGACCAGCTCTCCGTCGATCACGGTGACGACTGCTACCCTTCCCCGGCACGCCGAGCCACCGGTGACGGCTTGATCATCTACTTCTTACCCCCCAATGCTGTGGACTTTCACTTCCGAATGGACACTGACATGGATTTGGTCCGGGATGGACGCGATACCTACGAACTCAGTTGTATGACACTTATACCCTCGCTCTTCGAGTTCACGAATGTTACGATTGTTTCCGAGATTAACCCATTGGATTACTGTTTCTTCGGTCTGGGCATCTATTCATACAGATATCCTTTCTTTCTTGTGATACATGGACGATATACATAGTGTTTGCGTTCATACGGTCGTGCAGATATGAAGCAAGATCACTGAGTGGTGACGATGCCGTCAGGTTCTGCAAAACTAGTCAGTTGTTGGGTGACATCGTTGATCGGGGAAGTTGCACCGATGTAATCAATGACCGAGCCAGCCTCGGCTTGGAATGCTTGCAATTGAGTCAGATACGAGTCCGGGATCTGAGCCGCGAAGCCCTGCGGACGTCAGGTTCAATCAGAGCGGAATGGGAGATCGACTGCCACACTCACCTTCAGGACCGAATCATAGACATTGCTGACCTCGCCGCCTACAGTCGCATTCAGCAAGTATCCGTGAGGTCGCAAGGGGGATTGGACTCGCCAGCGTTGGTAACGCCCTGGACGTAGTTCTGGATGTCGGCGTCGGTGGCCGAGGTCTTGAAGACCACTATGTATTCTTGCAGAATTACATATTCGAGCTCCGTCCTCATTCAAATGAAGATTGGCACGTACTTCCGGAGGCCATCTCTGTGTTTGCGGTTGCAAGGGTGGAGAGCAGTAGAGCAGGGAGCGAGTACAGAAGCTGCGCCCGCATGTTATCAACACTATGAGCCCCAGAATGGGTTGCTACCACCCACATGATGGGGGATATCAACCATTCACCCACGGTCTGGTCGATATGTGGTTGATTGAGGCCGTGTGGGTGATTACCTTGGATCACCCACTTTGTGGTTTGCTGTATACAATCACCCACAGTTCCAGTGAGCAGTAATGTCGACGAAGTCCATGGGTGATTTTCACCCACTGTACCAGTGGGTCGTGCCAATGCTTGCCGCACAGCAGCGGCAACCCGTGCACAGCTTCTCGTTGAACTGTTGACTCCCGCCATCATCCATGGCCAAACGATGGGCTCACTCTCGCCATGGCCCAGGGCACGGGCCTTGGTAGAGTCGTGCCACTCTCTGAGCAGGCTCAGAGAGTATGGGTCGGGAGATGGGGTGTGCGTCTATAGCGGGTGTGCCCACCGCTGCAAGATGAACCCCCGGACGACCTGACATGCCAACTCCCCAGCGATCTATGTGTCCCTACAGTGCTGTGCGGGCTTTGGGTACGTCTGCTACACTGTGGTCTACGGTACGTTCAAAGTTCTGCTCTCACCTTTGTAAGACCAATGCACTCATACTTGAATTCAGGCGTGACGTGGCACTTTGCATCCCACTCCGACAGAAATTCATCCACCACGGCGTCCGGATTCTCCCAGTCTGCGCGGCGGGATGCCCCACTCCGACGACCACCGTTGAAGACACGTCGCCCTCCTGCTGCATAAGCGCGGCTCCCCCATCGGCCGAGGCACATTCGCCAACGTTGCCGCCCCATCACAAAACGGGTCGGCGATGTTCCTCCGTGGGTGTACGCGGCGCTGCGAAAAGTCCCCGTGCACTCGTTACGGAACATCGTCCAGGCGGAGGAGCGCCTATTGGAGGTACGCTCGAGCACACGGGGATCATGGGTTTTCTCTCGTCTGATGACGCGGCTTGCACTCAGTTTGGTCAAAACCTGATAAGGGAGTACGAGAAGGGAGGTGGCGGAAGCGGCGAAGAGAAGGGGCGCTACAACATGATCGCCCACTTGTATGATTCTACTGACCCGGTGACCGGAACGAGTATGTCCGAAGAGATGCTCGTGTCCATGGTGCGCATAGTTTCCTTGTTGTGCCTTGCGCTGATCGATGACCTGTTTACGCAGTGTGTCACATACATCATCGCGTGAGTCCTACACGGCCCGTTTTGCATTCAACGCACCGACGGGCTATCTCGAATAGCGGCACAGACACCACCGGGACCACCCTGTCGTGGTCCGTACTCCCCTGCTTGCGCGCCAAGGTAGCCCGTTGACGTTCCTCCAGGCTGATGTGGGCGCTTGCGAGCCACCCGCACGTCTACGACACGCTCCGCGCCGAGCTCATCGCAGCTTTCCCCGATCCCGGCGCGTTCCCCGACCTGGCGTCGCTCCGGAAACTGCTCTACCTGACCGCCGTCATC